ATCTCCTCGGCCTTTGATAATCCAGCGACGAAACAGCTGGCATGAGGGGCGGATGGCTAAGTTTTACATGAACCAAAAGCGGCCCCTAACCCTTTCCATTCTCATGCGGAACTGAGATCAGAAAGGCGCAGTTTCTGGGCATAGGAACAGCATCAGCGCCGATATTCGGATTGTCGCCTGTTGTTATTTACTGTACTCATTCACAAAGAAAAAAGCTAAATTTGCAACCGCTTAAGTGCTAGTGTTCCGTACACTGTCATGATGGGGTCGCATCTGGTGACCTTCTGTTCATAAAGTTAATGGCAGTACGGACTGGTGTGTATTTCCATCCCGTATTTTTGAAAGCAGTGTTGAAAGCAGCTACTTGGCTAACGTAGCGTACGATCTCCTGCTCCACTTGTTTATTAACCTCGAAAGGAAGAGAGGCAATGATTCGAACCCGAGACCTCACAGTTTGGAATCTGATTCTCTACCGACTGAGCAACCCTGGCGAAAACACATTTTTCTATGTGATGTGCGCTGCAATTTGTGATTTTTAAATTCTGCACTATGAAGCATCGATTGCGGCATCTTAAAAGGATAAGCCAACTCTGAAGAGAGTCATGCACTAGTTTCTTCTTCATCCTAGCATTCTGTCTTCATCGTCTACGTGTGGCATGTTTCAATTACCATGTGACACTCTACTTCATTTCCGTTCAGACTGTCAACGGTGTGCATCTCATGATCAATCGACACCTGTCAATCTGTTTGTACCAAGCGGCTAAGCAACAGTCGTTTGGAACATCTGCTTCTGAACAACGGGTCGTGATCTTCTCCCTTCATTTTTCTACAGAGAGTTAGGGCGTAATCGCTTTCTCGAAATTTAGTACCTCCATGAAGGGGCAAGACATCGATTTACAGTCAATGTGTCTTAAGCATTGTGAATGATATTTTACGTGGTGAGTCAAACAAGTTGAACTACACATTCATTCATAGAGAAGAATGAATTGGAGTTAGTGTTTTAGTTGAAAGCCCACATACTCTAATACCTGTCTAATCGCTATTTGGATCGATATCGCTAATAT